CAACCTCACTTGGACTCTTGTTCCCCTTCCTCCTGGTAAAAAGGCTATTGGCTGTAAATGGGTGTATCGTATTAAACACCGGTCAGACGGGTCTATTGAACGTTATAAGGCTCGTCTGGTTATTCTTGGGAACAATCAAGTTGAGGGTGTGGACTATACTGAGACCTTTGCTCCGGTCGCAAAAATGGTGACTGTCCGAACTTTTCTCGCTGTTGCTGTTGCCCGACAGTGGGAATTACATCAGATGGATGTTCACAATGCATTTCTGCACGGTGATCTTGATGAAGAGGTGTATATGAAATTACCTCCTGGATTCCGATCTCAGTCTGATCTTGTTTGTCGTTTGAAACGGTCTCTATATGGTCTTAAGCAGGCTCCCCGATGCTGGTTTGCAAAACTCACTACGGCACTTCGGCAATATGGGTTTCGTCAATCTTATGCCGACTATTCTCTTTTTACCTTGTGTCGTGATGGTGTTCAGCTGCACGTTCTCGTGTACGTCGATGATTTGATCATCTCCGGCAATAACAGTGGCGCTGTTTCTTCTTTCAAGGCTTATTTAAGTCGTTGCTTTCGTATGAAGGATCTTGGTCTTTTGAAATATTTTCTGGGTCTGGAAGTAGCTCGCAATTCGTCTGGCATTTTTTTGTGCCAAAGGAAGTATGCTCTTGACATATTGTCTGAGGTTGGCTTTCTCGGGGCTAAGCCGACCTCATTTCCCCTTGAACAGAATCATCAGCTTTCGCTTGTCACTGGTCCTCCATTCCCCGATCCCCAGAAATATCGGCGTTTGGTTGGAAGACTTATTTATCTTGCTGTCACCCGACCCGACTTGTCTTATTCTGTCCATGTTTTGTCTCAGTTTATGCATAATCCTCTCCACGCTCACTGGGATGCGGCTCTGCGGGTTGTGCGCTATTTAAAGAAAAGTCCTGGTCAAGGCATTTTCTTTCGCGCTGATTCTGATTTACGACTTACTGCTTGGTGTGACTCTGATTGGGCAGGTTGTCCTCTTACACGTCGTTCTCTCACGGGTTGGGTCATTCAACTCGGTTCATCGCCTATATCCTGGAAGACTAAGAAGCAGTCTACCGTTTCTCGCTCTTCCGCAGAAGCAGAATATCGCTCCATGGCCTCTACCAAGTAGAGCTGTTATGGTTGAAATCCCTTTTGGGATGTTTTGGCGTTGATCTATTGTCTCCAGTTTCTCTCTATTGTGACAGCCAGGCAGCCTTGCATATTGTCTCTAATCCCGTGTTTCATGAGCGTACTAAACACATTGAAATTGACTGTCATTTTGTTCGTGACGCACTATTGAAGGGTTTAATTGCTCCTACTTATGTTTCTACCACGAGCCAGCTGGCAGATATTTTTACTAAGGCCTTGGGTGGACAGGAATTCACGACTTTTCTCAGCAAGTTGGGCATTCGGGATTTGCATGCTCCAACTTGAGGGGGGTGTAACGGATAATTTAGGGAAGATATTTTCTGTACTTATCTTTAGTATCTAAATATTTTCTATAGTTATCTTTAGCATCTAAATATTTAGTTTGATATCATCCTTATCTCTTGTAATCTATATATATGTATTCTGCATTCTCAATCTCGTAAGCAATGAAAATAACAGAAAAGAAAAACTCTTTCTCCATGTTCTCTTTTATCATTTCAGCATGCAGACTTAGCTGGATATACCACAAAATGACATATTGTAGTCGTGGCAAAAAGATATCTTCATATCATAGCCTTCAAATAAGATAATGCCTCCTAAGCGTATTGTTGTGGTAAGAAATAAACTATAGCAGAAACTGCTTTAAAAAAGAGCAAATCTATAACTCCCTTAAAAGCATGAGTCATTTCTTGAAAAAATTGAAATGCCCATATTACCCTTTACTAATCTACCTTTTAAGGACATAAATGTAATTTCATAATTTTAAAATTGTTACTAAGCACATTTACTCCTCCACAAGTAATTTTATAATGTTATTACTTTGTTACTAATAAATACGTTTACTCTTTATAATATAAACAAATAAAATTGTTTCAAACCACAATTTTAATTTCAAACACAATTTTAAGGACATAAATGTAATTTCATAATTTTAAAATTGTATAATGCTACTAAATTTTAAATTGTTACTAAATACATTTTACTCTGCCGCAAGTAATTTTATAATGTTACTTTGTTACTAAATAATATAAACAATAAATTGTTTCAAATAATAATACATTTACTACTTAAAAATATAAACAACTAAAATTGTTTCAAACAAGTAATTTATAATGTTACTTTATTACTAAATAATAATACATTTACTCATTGTAATTATAATATAAACAACTAAAATTGTATCAAATATAAAATAAATTTATGTATCAAATAAATTTATTTATCAAATATCAAATAAATTTATCTATTTATCAAATATAAAATATTGATGCACCTTCCACACAAAAAGCTTTTTCTAGGACCATCAAATGAAAAAAAAATAATAAATAAAAAAATAAATGAAGTTATACCTGACAAAAAAACAACAAACAATACATTATGCATACCATATATTTCAAACGTCATTATGCATTAATTTTTAATTAAATGTATCATTTTATAAAATTAATACAAAAGGAAGACTGACGGTTTCATTACAACAAAACATTCACTATCTCTTCCCTTTTCTCTTCCTCATCATTTTTCATTTTTTTTATTCTTCTTAATTTTATATCTAATGATTATCTCATCCTATTATTGTTATTAAATTAATTTCTGCTTACAAGTTTGATATAATACATTCCTTCTTCCACACAAACTTTGGAAAACCCCTTTTTTTTTTTTTTTTAACGAAAACATAATTAAAAATAAAAAGAAAGTTTCGGATCGGCAAGATCTCCTATACGCAAGCCCTGTCCGTCGAACATGAAATCGACACGGATTTTTTCATACTACGCGACCGCAAGACAGTGATTTATCTCCGAACTAAAATTGTGAAATCTCATCTTCCTCAATTTCGTAAGTTTTATGCTCTTTCTCTTGCACCCTTTTTAGGTTTTCGATTTGACATTTTTAAGATTTTATTATATATTCCCAAATCCTTTTGAAATTAAATTCCATATGTTTATTGAATTTCTTACTTTTTTGTTTACGTAATCCACATTGGTTCCTTTAGGATTGCTTGGGCTGAATTGTTGTATGAATTATGGATTGTCTAATGTTGTTTTTTTAATTTTTTTATAGTTTACCTTTGTGTGTATTATAAATGTTTTTTTTTTTTAATAATCATAGTTGGTGTTCCATTCTTTTATTGTATATTTTTTATTTGTCAAATAGATAACAAAACATTTATATCATACTTCAACTACCGTTTGTTGTTCTTAAGGGGAAAGAAAAATATGTATATGATATTTTGTAATTAACTATTTAGGAATCAATATTTTATAAAGTAAACTTGTGATTACATTTTTTTTAGTTATTTAGACAGAAGTAAATGTATATAATATTCTTTTACTATAAAATTTATTTTATTTTATTTTTATAATTACTCTATTTTTATTTATATTACAATTAAAGTAAATGGTAGATTAATTTATGTAACACATATCATTATAAAACAAAATTTATATTATACATATTATTAGCAGGTAAACATAAATTGTAGTATGCATATTTTTTTAGTGAATAATTTGAACAAAATAATTTTTTTAAGATATATATTTTCACCTAACAAATAATTTTTTTTCATAAAAAACTGACTTTTTGTATATGTTGAAGAGTTATTTTTTATTTAATCATTCCTAAACATATGCATGCTTACTAAATTGTTCCTTTTTCATTTTTTTAATACTATAACAAAAAAAAAAAATCTAAAGCAAAAATATGATATTTAGAAATTAGAGATGATCCTTTTACTGGTGCATTATATATTTTATACTTGTGAAATAAAATATATTTTATTTAAAAAAATCTTAAAAATAATATTTTCCTTACATTTAAAAACTATATTTTCCTTAAATTTTATTCTATTTTTATTTCTAACTTACATATTTGTTTAGATAATCTTAACATCTTTATATCAACTAAAAGAAATTAAATTATATAAAAACTACATTTCAGCAAATTTTATTCTATTTTTTTTATTTCTAACTTACATATTTGTTTGGATAATCTTAACATCTATATATCAACTAAAAGAAACTAAATTATTGAATACGTAAGAAATATAATAAAAGATCATAGATAAAACAAATAATAAAGTAGAATGAAAAATAATTGATTGAAAAAATGATTGTAACTATTAATATTTGTAACTCCCTAACAGTTGTGACAAAATTACATTGCTTAGAATTAATTATAGCGTATGACATTTTTGGCAATTCAATTTTTTTCAAGAAACAAGTCTCCATCGAGCTTGTTTGTATAATCACATGATCTTGTGGAACCTTATTTTCTGTAACTATGGTGACAATTAAATCCCTTATATGGTGATCATTTGATTGTTAAAAGTTTAATTACATATAGACATTGTTGGGAGTGACCTTAAATAAGAAATAATCATGGTCTTCCAAACATTATTCTCTTGTTTGTGTGATATGTTTTAAGTTTTTCACTTTCTGGGCTGATACTAAACATATTTTTCTAGAGGGTTCAATTTTTTTTCTTATAATTAATTTTGATAAATATTAAA